AGGAATGAGTTTTGTCTGAACTTCCTGCAGTTTAAACACTTAAAGAAAAACTTTAGGCATTTTAAAACAAAAATAATTTATATTCAACTTTATTAGAAACTTGCTAATTTAGTGCATCCTTGTCCTTCAGAAAGTAAATAAGTGTGAGAAACCTCATCCCAGAGGTAAGTATCAGGGATCTCTTCCTCCACCACACAAAACAAACACCATTATCTCACATCTTGAAAAATTTAAATCCATATGCCAATGCTTGTAGTTACAGGAAGATGTCAACACAAGGCTGACTAAGATATGAACTCTTTCAAAGAGCACTTGGGGCAGAGATTTTAAAAAAAAAAGTCTACACAGAGCACAGGGGTAACCAGAACATACAGCGCTGACTCAGTTAACTCCCTTACAAGCACAGGGAAGCTAAGGTTATCACAAGAAGGCTACAGTGCTTTCTCCTGATAACATCCACTAACAGGCTTCACCACCATAGAAGCTCACAGACTTAATTCTTTCTATTCACAATGTGCTTTGTATTCGCAAATTATAACATCAGTTTTTTTCTGGAGTGAGAAGATGGTTACTTGCTTGCAGTAAGTCAAAAAAGGAAGTATTTTAGAAAGACTGCTATGGTGCTCTGTAGGATTCATTTTGTGTGTGCAAAACATCAAAAAAAAGATTAAGTTTTTAAAAACGCTAGAAACAACTACTCACTTAACCTAAAAGTGCAAGTTCATTTGCTGACACTTAGTACAGCAGCCCAATAAAAAAATCCTCAAGGTCACGTACTAATTTGTAAAATATATCTACTTCCTTGCACTCTACACACTAGCTGCCGTGATCAGTCTTTTGGACACTTTAGATATGTACTTGCAGACCAGTTTATTAAAAATATTGCAGCAGCATATTTCTGCTTAATGGTTTAGAAAAAACTCACTATACAGAGCTTGCACTCACACAGCCACAGAGAGGCTTAATAAAAAGTTGATTTTTTTAAAGACAAATATTTTACATCTTGAAAAAAAAAATCACACTAAGCTTCACCTCCAATTAAGCACCAACCTAAATGTAAGGTTTAGAACAACTATCCAGAAATATCCAGAAAAATAGAATGTTTGTTCAAGAGGGGAAAAAAGTATTTCACAGAAAAATAACTTGCAGGCATCGTTATATGCCTAGTATCACTGCAAGCTCCTAACCAGCAACTCATTCTCAGGTATCTTAGTGGGAACATGGGTTTAATTTGTGGGAAGCAGACCTCTTCTCAAATCCCTCCCAGGTGTTAGTTTCACTGAGGAGATTTTGGAGGGGTATTCTGTTCTTTATTTAAGCGTTTGCCAACGGCTGGAGGGGACGATCTGCGTCCTGACTGTCTCCTCTGGTCTTTGGGTTGTCCAGGATGCGACTTTGCAGGAGGAGGTTCTCTGTTTTTCTCTATTGTTTCTGTGGGCTTTCTTTCTTCTTTCCCACATGCTACAGTGTTTGGCTTCTGTTCTTTCTGGGGTTGCAAAGTAGGAGGATCCTTAGTTGTTCTCTGGCAAATTTCTGCATAACTAGGTTTTCGCAGTTCCTGTGAAATCAAAAGCAAACAGGACAGTGTTAAATAAAGTATCCTGAGAAAAAAAACATGTACTTTTATGAACAAAAAAGATAAAGTCTTTATCCCAAAAGACTGCTGCACTAAAATATGCAAACGAGGGCTTGAGTATGAAGTTTACGGAAGCCATATGGACAGTAAGGTTCAAGACAAGGTAAAATGCGAAACAGTATGCCAGAAAAACGGAGTACTGTGACAGGACAAAATACTTCTGATTTAAGCGAACTCTGAAACAGCTGAAAGATGATGAATATGCTGGCTTAAATATCAGCGTATGTATTAATGCTTCTACCTCAAGGATACTACCAAGAGAATTCAGATAACTTGGTGAATGATGACTCTTATCTTGAACACTTTTGCACTGTTAATTGCATAATTGTATCAGGAAAGTAATCATGAGGCCACCAACACACAAATTTAATGATGCTGGGCTCACATGATTAAGCAATAGGGTAGCAATGGAAGCAATATTCTGTTAAACACATCAGACTGGATCATTAAAAGAAAGTGAAGTAATAAGGTCACTTACTATGGCAGCCCCATTGACTTGTACCGATTTACATGCAGTACTGAGTGTGGAAGAAGAAAGCCTTTCTGTACTCTGTGTCTCTCTCTGTTGTTTATCCACAACCTTGGAGTCCCTGTAAGCATCCAGCAGGAAGCAAGGCTCATGAAAAGCGAAACTTCAGGACAGATGAATGATCTAATAATGGGTCTAAAACTTCATCTGAGTATAAAAAGTGATAGCTATGATTTGCCTAGCACATTATGACTAGCATTGCATTTAAAAAAAGCTATCAAATATTAAAAAAGATACTCCTGTGGAACTCTACACTACCAAATGCTATCAGAATGTCACAAATTGCAGGTTATTCGGTTATCTTACTGCTGTTACTGAAACACCTCGATTTGATTTGCAGGTTCCAATTAAAGTCTTGCTGAAAACGTACTTTATTGCATGGACAACGGTACTGCCCACAGGATTGTGGGTTTAATTTCTACGCTTCAAAGTTATCTAAATACAAGACAATAACGTATTCATTAAACTTTTAAATACTTGCAGAGACTAAAACACAACACTAAACTTCTGTCTGCCAAATCACTATTATTACTGAATCACTATTATGATATTGTTCAGAAATTAAGCTTTATTGCCTTTACTACAAGTACAATATAGAACAAAATATTATTTCTTTCATTAAGATTTTAATAGCTATTTACAGTGTTCCACATAGCCTTCTCATGACAGAAAATGCAAACGTGATTCAGAGCAAAATAATTATAACTGTGTAATTAAGTGCTTACTCAGAAGACTGGGACGGCGAAGGAGACCTTTCAAACGTCCTGGGCAATGTAGAAGAAACTGGCAACAACGGCTCTCGAGGAATTCCTGATGGAATAGTGTTTGTACTTGCATCCACATTAATGTTCTGAAGGAGGAAAAAAGGCACAGAAGGGAAATCATAATATCCAATTAATATGGTTTGCCTGAAAATTAACACAATCAGGAAACAGTTTACAAGTTGATTTATAAGGGTAAATTAACTACAGGAAGATACAAAAGGATCCAATATGTATTGTAACAAATAAGTTTTTTCCTTTACAACTATTTAGAAAGGCAAATAAATCAGTCACATACTGTGGCTCTTGCCCAAAAAAAATGGAATCTTGGTTCCCTTTGGGACACATTTGGATGACAAAAATCACTTCTTTCAACCTGGAATTTTGCGCCTACTGGTGACAAAGTAGGCTTTGTGCCTGTTCACATAACCATAGTTAGCCTAGTAAGACAAAAGTCTCCTCGAGTTAGGCACTAAGAACTGTCTTCAAAGCTCTAACTCTGCATCATCCCAATAGCTGATGCTAAAAAACGCCTAACATTAAAAAAGGCTTTGCAAACTAGCATTTGACCATCATTAAAAGTCTTTCTTACACTATAGTGTGATATGCTACCAAGGTAAAAAGACTTTTACCATAGCCCTCAGAATTCTGCTAGTGCCAAGTGATACTGTACTTCCAGATAAAGGGCAAATAGGTTTTGCCTATTGCAATGCATGACTAAATTGTCACAAGACAAGAGAAGTAAGACTTTGTATCTTGAGAAATGTATTTCTGACATTTAAAACAAACAAAATGGTTATAAAAGTGTTACATTCTTCGTATTGCTTCTGATGTGCCTGACTCAAACCAGAACAGATTCTGGTAAGCAGAAGGGAAAGCAATGGGTGAACACAAGCACAGAAGGAACACCACAGCCACCCCTTTCCCCCCGTCCAGGCACCGTTCCAAAGGTCAAAAAACATGAGACTCCTCTGGTCACTGTTAGAAAGGAAAATGGTATTTGATGACACTGTTTTAAAGCAGGCAGCATACATTATGTAGTAGACCTAAACCTAGTTTTACTCAAAATAAAACTGTAAAAGGCAGATGTTTAGAAATAACAGCTTCTACAGTTTTACTCACTATAATAGTGTGCACAAAGGCTTGAAATTGCATGTTGCTGAGCATTCTGGCCCAAGCACATCAAAACTTGTAGGTACATGGTTAAGTCTGAATAACTTCAAGTCAAGGACACATGCAAGTGCTGTTCCTAGGCTAGAAGACTCAGCCCCTGATCTGGCAGCACTGTAGTTTCCCAGTTAGAAAATGCAGGGTGCTTAACACCTGCCACTCCCCAGAGCTACATCTAGAAGAGCACCACAAAGCAAAGAACATAAAGATATGGATAACAACTGTTGCAAATTACACAACCTAAGTTCACTCAGCTTCCGTATACCAGACTTGCCCATCCATAAAACAAGTCTAGCACTGTGTAACTCTACATCAGGTGACATGCAAAAACACTGAGATCAAGGCAAAAAGCAGCCTGTACACAATGGCAAGATTCTAATGTTAACCCCAACACCTTTGTAGAACACACAATTGCTCTTCCAAGCCAGTTGATGTCATCTTATTCTGTATTAACACCAGCAAGGAAAGACAATGCGATCCCTTCCTTCCACACAATGGTACAGCCTAATGCATCCAAGCCAGAAAAAGAAATTAGGAATCAAAGGAAACTTTTTAATGTGACAGTGCTTTGCACGATCATAAAACCTCAGTGCCTGACTGATATTAAACCTGCCTCTACAGGGGAGAAATGGAAGTTCTTTACATTAAGTACAGCGCAAAGTAAGTACCAGATTTGTAATGGGAGGAGCAATGGGTTTTCAGCTGCAACATCAATAGCAAGTGCCAGAATTGTATTTAAAACTTGATATACAATAGCCAAAAACCATTTCAGAAATAGAGGTACAATACTTTAAAAATAGATTGATGGCAAAGAACAGACTACAATCTGGAGTACTGGCTGATAGTTAAACACTGCTCTCATCATGGCACTGTCCTGCACATTCTCCCTAAATGCAACCCTGGAGTGTAGCTGTCCCTATTAACACTTGTAGGAGGTAGAATAGATGGTTTGTCTGTGCAATCACTGCTTTAGGTGCAGGCTGCCCAGTTGCTTCCTCTTTCCTTTACCAACAAACACCCCTGAAAACACTTCTGCAACAGACTGGTTTTAGATATGGACACGAGAGATTTTGGTGTTTCCTCAGGCTGCTTTGCACTGCTATATTCAGGGGTTAACTTCTTCAGTTGTGGTACAGCTGGAAAAAACACAAGTTAAGATTAAAGCTAGCAAAAAAGCCAATATAGACTTCTATAGCCTAGACTGTTCCACCGTACACAGGGTTATATGAGTCTTGATAGAGGAGAACATACCATCGCTCACAGATGGCATGGTAGAGACAGTTCTAAGAATGAAATCTATGAACAGCTACTGAACATTAATTTTCAACTGCATCTCTACTACATCTAGAAAGCAGTGGTTGCCAAATCATTCTGGTATATTTTTATCTTCCCAAGCAATATATGACAAGAATGCTGGGATCCAGCTGGGTTTGGTAACAGTTCTTGTTCCAGCTATGATGCCTAGTGTACTGAGATTATGTAGGCAGCTTCTTTATATTTCAGTGCTTAAAAGTTTGTCTTTGTCACTTTAAAGTGTTTTATATACAACTCCAAAGTTTGACTTTCAAACAGGAGGAAAAGTTATCACATATTTCTCACCTGAGTCTATCAAAAAGCCTGAGGCTATTATGAACAGCACAGAGCATATTTTCTGATCTCTGCTATTAACATCTACTTATACTGGTGCGCATATTCCAAACCATTTCAAAGAGAAAATCCAACAAATTCTAAGATATAAGTAATGATGTGCTGCTGTCTTTTGACAGCTGTTTTAAAAAAGCATTTCTTACTACCCATGTAAAACCACAAGTTGTTTTTTTTCTATGTATAAGCCATTGAATCTGAAAACAAGAGGTATGCAATTTTGTTTTCCCAATAAACACTGGCTACTCACTCTTTCTTTTGATGTTCCTATTACCACGTTGGACAGTCTGTTTTCAAAAAGGTCTTCGGTCTTTAAATTGCCAGCAGCCCCAGGTAATGGAGGAAAGCTAGATAAACCCAATTCAAAGCTAGGAGATGGAGGTTTCGGGGGTGGTGGAGACTGCGTTTGGCCTCTCTGGAATAGAAATAACATGTTGAGGTTACTGCACTGGATGATAGAAGAGACAGACTTGAGACTACATTATTTCACATTTGATTTATAACCGTGAAGACCTAGAGAGACCTCCTCCATCCTGCTTCCAAAAACCCATACAGTATCAAGGAATAGATGCTTTCATTTTACACTGGTACCTTAAAATATTTAACTATTATTGAAATGGGATGGCATAAGCATCCTTAAAAAGGTCACATAAGCTTTAGTGATACTGGTATAGTAAGAAAAG